TCGCCGTAGACTACGCGACGCGCTTATTGCCCAGCCATGAGAAAGTGTAGATAATTCCTGGTGAAAAAAATTATCCATCAAGAAAAAGATTTATCAAAGAAAAAAAAAAATCACAGCCTTCCAATCCAAACCAGGAGAAGCCATCAGCCAATAGTTGCAGCAGCAGTAATTGTTCTAAATCTATCAATAAAGCTAAGCTGCTCCTTCATTGACTGCAAACACCAATTTCTTTCATGGAGGATTATAAGTTGATGTTCATGGGCTCCCTACCACCATTAGGGTGATAAACAGTTTAAACTACATCAGGATCTGACATGTAGATCAATTCTGCGTCCATAAAGAATCTACACAAGAGGTTCCCGGACAGGGATTTACTGTTCCCAGTTTTTATTCTCTCTTGCTGCTAAAATTACTTCTGTCAAACACTTACAAGAGTAAGGAAAAAAATGTAAAAAGAATTAATTTTTCATGTACTACTGGAACAGTCTTTTTAAATTTCTGAGTTTGAAGACAAATATGTTACTGCATTTAAAATTATGCGGAACAGCATGTGGCATTTAGCTAAATAGTGAGCCAGTTCCAGAATTCGCTCACTATCAAGCAGACAGCAATTTGAAACATTGAACTAAGCTGTCTAGATTTTCTCTGAGGGCAGTCACAGGCTTCATGATACCAGTGCCAAATTATATTAGACATTTAATTCTAAACCTCAGGTACTTAAACGTAAAACCTTACAACAGTAATAGTCATAAAGCAGTGGGGCATTCCATTTCAGAGAATGGATTTTTCTATTTTTCCCCTTTAATTTAACCAGCACCTCCTGTTTTGTGGCTCTGCCCACTACAAAGTAATTTATCTAATTAGGAGATGTTCACAGCTGCTTAAAAGACAGAAGCCCCAGGAAACCAAAGGTCTGGTTAGGAAGACTTTGAAAAGTTCTCCAGAGCCACACAAAGTATTAATTTAATGTGGAAAAAAAAGGTGCAGAGAAAAATTGAATCCCAATATGTTATTTTGTCTACAATAAAACCATGCGACAATAAGCAGGCATATTCTCTTGTACATTGGCATTTGAATTCCAAAAGATGCTTAGCTTCTCTCCATACCTGCTGCTTTCACAGTATTATCTTTTTATGACTAAAATTCAAAATCTTTTAATGGAGAAAAAACGCTGAAATTAAAAAGGGTTTTTCATGCGTCAACTCACCAGCATAAAGGACACATCTACGAGCTTACCAAAAGATGACACACTGATAGCAGTGAATTATTCTTGGCGTTTTCTAGCAGTTTTATCATCCCAACACTTATGTTTATGCTGACGTTTAGTTGTCTAAGACTGACCACTAGTGCAATTTTTCTCCACATGTTGGGAAGAAAAAAAACCTTCTCATTATCTGTAAATAGTAGGACCTCTGCAAGAAATTATTTAAGCCAGGCTTCTTCAAAACTACTCACCAGCCATCTGCATTTTTTAAATAAATATTTCATAGATAATTCTAGCTGTCATCTCTTTTGATCGAGAAGTAATCACATACGAACATCGAGTCAGAAAAAGGTACTGCGCATATTTGGAGCATGGAGCTTGTGTAGGAGAAAAGGATGCCTTTATCGGTAGTTTAGGACAGCTACACTACAACATCAGGAGCAAGAGACAAGTTCAGCAAATACCTCCAAAGTAGAAACAGCACTACAAAGTAAAGGGGAGAAGGAAGAGGCAGGAATTTAGGTTATATTTCTACTTTTCAACATATTAATTACATGCCACTTTGAGGAAGTCATTGAGTTCTGTATTCAATGACTGTCTCCTCCTGCAGCCTCAGTTTTCACTTCTGGCGCTAGGGAGCGATGGGATGGTAGCTGCTCACCTGCCTGCAGGTATGCCAGTCATAAAAGACCAGAGAGTGACTAAATCTCGTCTTTCCCTTGCCATCATTCTAGTGAAAATATACGATTTTCTCCAACTTTTCTCTGAAGAGCTACAGTATTGAAGAAGGCAACAAAAAGCTGACGCTTTGGTATATGTAACCTTTTAAAAGGAAGGTACAATTGGGGTGGATTAAAATAGCAAAGCAACTCAGGAATAGAGAGCAGAATATATGGCCTGGCCTGAACTGCGCAACCAGCTTAGGCTAAATGAATCTGTGGGCATTGGCAAAGCAAAAGGTGAAAGAGAAAATACTCCTGTCGCTCGAAGGAAAATATGCTGAAGTAGGAGAATGCGGATGGCCCTAGAAGACTAACCAGCGTCCAAGGAAACAGTCCAAGAGCTGCATGGACACAGAAGGAAACAGCCTTCCACAATTTTACCATTCCACTTGGAAGTATTTTTCTCTCTCGAGTAGACTAAAGGAAAGGGTGTTTGCTTTAGAAAACTCATCAAAATCCGTATCCTTTTGATGCAAATGCCATACTCCTGAAGATGTTGCCCATGAGTTTAGAGCTCCAGAAACATGCGTTTAAGCAACTACAGAGAGCTCATGCCAGTCAGAGCCAAGGTGACTAAGATTTCAAACTCTGCATTCTCATAAGGTGGCACTGAAAAGCTGTCCAAAGGGGCCTGAAAACCCAGACGCAGTATTTGGACTACACTTATATTACACAGATACCTATGGGACATGGGAAGATGTTTTCCTGCTCCAACAGTTTTCACTATTTTAAGGAAAGACATCAGAAACAGATTCCCTCTTCCCTTTTTTTTTACCCCATTATCCTTATTCACACTTAATTTCTTCTCAGTGCTTTCTTTCACGTGCTCATCTCTTCTTTACTCTTGTTGCTCTGTTTCTTGAGCTTTCCATGGTTTCTCCACTGGCCTGTCTGAGACACCATGGCCTTGGACACGTGTGCTTCACTGACATGAATCAGACGTGCTCCATGCTGCAGTGGGAATTATCTAGTCCTAGCCTACCCACCATGACTGCTCCAAGCGTGTCCTAACTTGTGTAGGTAGCAGGCAAACTACACATGAAAGCTTGCATTACACCTCTGTCCTTGGCCCGCACTCCACACTGGCATGCTCTCCACTGAGCCCAGATGCAATGTTTTGTTACCAAACACCCTACAGACCTTCTGAAAAAAACCAATCCCTTGTCTCATCATTACAATCCAACCATTGCGAAACACCATCTGGAACAGCCTTTGTTCATTTTAATACTGTTAAACACTCCACATGGAAAGCACTACAGGATTTAAAAAAAAGTATGCCAGTAGTGTGCAAGATCAGTGGAGAAAAACACATGTCAGTGAAAAGGTCTGACAGATAACTTACTGCTAGTATTTACTGCCATTCAGAGTAAGATATAAAGTGAACAACCTATACTACATACCTGAAATGAAAATTATGCACTATAATTACATTAGCTCTTCCTGATGAGAAATTACTGTTTTTATCCGTGTTCTTTCATCTAATTTCTCCTTCTCTTCCAGATGCGAGAAGTTTGGCTTACCGCATCTGGATGAACAACATCAGTTTTTACAGCAAAATTCTTCCCTTTGCCCCAGACCGAATAGACCCCCCACCAAGCTCCAGGTTTCTTACCACTGTTAATGCCAGAGTTTGCAATGACTGTTGCCTCACTCCACTGATCTGCACTGGAGACTGAGTAAGAGCGCTGATGCATACCATCCGGACGACTGTTGAAGGAGACTAGACTGATCCCACTGGCCATCTGAGACACAGATGTGCTAGTAGTCACGTTCCCTAGACATAAATGGAAAACAAATTGGCGTCAATAGAGAAGACAAAATTGATTGACACGGAGACGGATGGGGGCATCTTAACAGCAGAGAAAGAGATTATTTAACCAACACGAAGAACAACGCAGCACTCTCTGTACCTCTCAAGGCAACAGTGACCAGCTTGGGGCACCACAAATTTCAGCAGCCTGGTGAAACTTAACTCGGAACTTCTGACAAGAGAGTCTAAATTCTCCATATTTCAGCTCATGCTGTTCATCTGCCTTCTGGAGAAAACAACCTTCCACATGCCTGCTAGCAATAACACTTTGTATAGCCTCTCCACTGTTACAGGTAGATGAGCCACAGTTCGGAGAACACTAGCTTAGAGCACAAAAGACAGACTAAGCATGTAAAAGAAATGAATATCTGAGAACTACAGTTTATAAAAACAACCAACATCTGAGACAATGTAGCCCATTCAAAAAGTTTAACACACACTAACACTAAATAAAATTTCAAGTGCAGCCAAATACAGGAAAGCCAAAGTAAAGCCAAGCACAGCTAAAATACAGTGATGGTGAGTAAATAACTACCAGCGTTGCAAGACCAAGCAAAAACATATTCAGATCTTCGACGATAAAGAAACATCATGCCACAAACAGCATACAATGGAGGCTTCTTCCACTGACTGCGAGTATCCTTCCTGTACACCCTTCATAGCTGCAACTGGAGGGCTATTACACAAGAGGTGAGACACAAGAAAATGGTCTTAAACAATAAATACTAGAAACAGTTTTAGTATTTTCATGATCCTAGGACAATAAAATGTTTGGGAGGAGGGGGCAAGGACAGGCTCCTCACTGTTGAGGTTGAAGAGTGATTTGGTTGAATCAATTTTAGAGTCAAAACAATTAAAACCCTTTTCACAAACTCAGATTTCCAGTGGTCTTCCTCTCAACTTGGTATGTGCCAAAGAGTTTGCTCCACAGTTTGGACTTCTGATCACATTTTACTCCAATCCTGGCCCTGTATTTATATATTCCAGCATCATAAATATTCTGCCATGCTAGGTTCATTCTCCGTGGCAGGCTCTTCCAAAGGGTAGCAGATGCTGGTGACAGTGTGAGAGTCTACTCTCAAAGGCACCCCATGGGGCTTATATGGCTTTAAGAATACTCTTTTAAAAACAGATGTAAAGGGAAAGAAACAGACACAATCTTATAAAATACCCTAACACTTTGCATTTCCATTGCACCTTCTACTGATGAGTTCAGAAAAATTAATGAATTAATTTTCAATGCTCCTGTGAGGTTGTTAATTATCTGCTATCATTTCCCCCATTTTTCAGAGGTTAAATGACCCAGGGCCACAAAGGAAGATTGTGGCAGACTTGAAAATAAAACCCAGATCTCCTGACTCCCAGTTCTATCATTATGTCTTTTCCCAGAGCAGCCTTTGGGAAGACAGCAGAGCTTGGTGAACTACTTTGTGTTTATTAGAGCTGGCATAATTGTCCCCTTCTCTCCTCCCCTTTCCCAAGACTAATCCTTGTCTTTAGTCCATAACATAGATCCATCACTACAGTATCTGTCCACCTGAGTCTTGAATGTACTTGTTCAGTCTCAAGAACTTCTGTGCAGCAATCTCTACTTCTTCAACAAGAAATAGATATGAAGAAAGTGAACTTATCTATCTGCTCAGTTACACAAAGCCTATGGTAGATTTTAGAACCGCACTGGGCTCCCTCAAGGCAGTGCGTTAGCCACTGGCACATAATTCCTCTCTAATCACTTCCCCTGAGCAACCCTTTTGTCTGCAAGAAATCCAGAATTGGAGTGTTATCTGTGACAGTGCTGAAAAAAATTGATGCCTCCAACAACCAGTGCCCTTCAGGACACTGTGCGTTTGACCTACCAACTGAAAGCAATTTGCTAATGCTAGTATTTTAGCACCTTTTAAAGATATCTTCCACAGAAAAGTTCAGCGGAGAAACCATGCCTACAGAACTGAAGGCACAAAGCAGAGGTTCAAATTATAGCTCAGTATCTTAAAGTCGCAAGAGAAAATGGGAAGCTGACACTTCATATTTTGTGTTCTTTTAAAAGAAATACATCCTTCCAAATGAATCTTTGCAAAACAGCTGATGCTCACTTTGAAATAATCAGCAGGGCTCTCCTCCAGTTTTCACAACCCAGAGAAAACATGAGCGTTAATACATTATTTTGATGATGATACTATATTAAGGGGAGCGGCTGACAGGAAGGGGGAAAAGACCCTAGAAACGTGAGAATCGGGCCAACAGAGATTTCCTGTGGTTCAGCAAGGAGAAGTCCTAAGGTCTGCCCCGAGAGCAAAATAACCCCACATAGCAGCAGAGGCAGAGAACCAAATCAACCAAATAGCAGCACTGAAGAGGACTCATAAGTTACAGTGGATGTCAGAGTACGTGCCAACACTGTACTTTTGCTGCAGATAACACCAACCACATACTGGGCCCACTATTAGGAGCACCTGAAACACCGCATTCAGGTTCAGGGTCCTGCAATTCAAGAGGGCTGTTGGAGAAGGTCCAGAAGAACTACCCAGATGGCCTAGGGCGCATGGCCAATGAGCACTCCACAAGCTGGGCTGCTTCAGTGGGGCAAACAGGAGTCTAACAGGTGATTTAATAGATGCCTGCAGCTACCAGGAGTTTTATAAAGATGGAGCCAAATGCTTGGTCATTGCAGATGATACAAAACGTGGCAACAGCTACAGACAGCAGTTTGGAAAGTTCAGATCTGATATTAGAAAATGCTTCACCAGGAAGATAATGCAGCCCTGGAACAGGCTGCCTAAAGAAGCTGAGGAAGCTCCATCCTCACAGGTTTCCAAAACTCAGCTACGCAAAGCCACAGCTGAACTTATCTGGCACTGGTGAAGGCAAAAAATAGTTGCCGAGTCCCCATCTTCTATACTTTGCTAATCTATGATGCAACTCAATCCAGCTCAAGCAGGAGGACAGAGTAGATGATCTCCAGAAGATCCTTCCAACCAGCCTTTCTAGGGTTCTGTGAATGATTAAAACGCCTTTTCCCCCTGCTCTTTTTTCTTCAAAGCAAAGAAACTTTTAAAGCTCAAAAGCTACTGTGCTGTTGGTTTTGTTTGTTTGTTTCTTTTAAATCTGTGGCCTCATAGAAGAGTTCCTTTTTTTTTTTCCCCAGTCTTTTTTTTTAATTTTACTAGCCTTTAACTTTTCAATCAACTTAAGTTTACCACGTCAAGTTTACAGGTGACAATTATGTGGCAGATTAATCCAAATTATTTGCTTTGTTTGGTTTTTGCTGCAGTACCTTTTGCAGCATCTTTAAACTATTACTGGTAAATGGCTTTGGAAACAACTTATTTTTCACAAACAATTAGGTTCCCTATTGGGAAACAACCCCTTCCTCCCCTCCAAGAGCCTGACAAATGGCATCTACCCTGCCGGACTGAAGAGCAATGCCACAGAAGCGCACTTTTAGCCTGTAGCTATCTTTCATTCTGCACCTAGCAAAACAGGAAGCTACCATTTGATGAATTCCTGCAAGAGAATCTTCGTAACAAAGATCATGAAGGAGAAAACCAGTATGTGAAAACTAAGATGGAGCGTTCCCTAGGTATCATGGGAAAATGGGAAACAATTACCAGACATCTTTGCCTGGATGACACATCCTCATTAGTCTGTGCTGGGTGGCTGAACTGCAGAGAGAGGCAGTATTTGAATGTTGACATCTTCTGCCTAGTTCATAAATTTTTGAACAGAAGTACCCTGTCACTTCCTAACCATGATGCGAAAGTAAACTTTAAAAAGGATACCTGGTGTAATACCAGGACTTCTGCATCATCATGTCAGCACCCAAAACCTTTACCTGTACTTTAATGCCATCTTCTGCAACTCCACAACCAAGGTTATGACATTACTTTAATCTGTTGAGGAAGTGCCTTATTCTGCGAACCAAACAGGATTTTTTTTTCTTTCACTTCGCATTTGTGAAAGCTGTGGACTGTTAGCAAAAAATAGTTGCCGAGTCCCCATCTTCCATACTTTGCTAATCTATGATGCAACTCAATCCAGCTCTGTGTTTTCTGTTGCCACAGTCCAACAGCCCTGTCACCAATTTGTCCCTTTACCTGTTGTGATAACATTTATTCAAGGCTAAATTCCACTTTTTACACATGCTGTAATATTTTTTTCAGTAAATCAGACTATGCAAGTCAGAATCCTTACGTAGACATCAGAAGAGCTCATCTACAGAAAAAAAGATTGGAGTCCTGTCCCCCCACCAACATATGCAGCTCTGGCACAACCTTGTGAGTTACCACCTTATTTTAAAAATGTCATTTCCCAATCCATTGCTAATTTTTTTTACTTCTCAAACTAGCTGATTACAGCAAGCCCAGGACACGTACTCCAGGGCATCAGTTTGCAACAAAGCTGTCACACCAAAACAAGGATTGCTGAAAGCCAACTGCTGGTCTTGCCCACGTTGTATGCTGCACAAAGCTTCTACAGAACAATCCTATGGTATTTTTTTCCTTCTGCCAACAGGCAAACTCCAATCTCCACCTCCAAGAAGCAATTTTCCTTTAAATACCGTTTTTTTTTAGCCAATAAGCCACTCTGTTCAAAATCAGAGGCCAGCAATACCCATTGAGAAGTAAATTCTACATATTGAGGAAGGCACAGCACAAAGCTTTTGTATGTCAGGGTCTTCTAAGCAAGGACTTGATGCATTCTGCATGTCATCTCCCCCATATACACACACATATGGATAAATATATACATACGTGCACACATATATGTTACATATACACATGTATCAGCATTAACAGGAAATACACGGTCAGCTACCTGGTCCATTCTGGAGTTCTTAAAGAGTGCTTCTTCAAATACATCATATATGCATCAGCTGGTTGCTTAAGTTGATTAGCAGGGGGCAGTTAAATTACTATGCTAATCCATGTATTCTCAGCACTGTTTCCTTGATATGGATATGTGTA